AAAAAAAAAAAAGGGGAAAAAAGCATTCTTGACCTCTGTCCCATTGTCCAAGTCCATAGTCACCTGTGGACGCCCACTCTTGGAACAGCATGATGCAAAAACTGCAGATTTTGGAGTAGGGACGCACTTAACTCTACACTTTAGACGAGTCGGAATTGAACCCTAACCCTCACTAGGCACAAGACACAACATCCCACTCGCACGATGTACACTTTCAGATTTTCAATTGAAAATTTCCAGATTGTTATAAAATTCACTTACTTACTGTACATAATGTCCTCTTTTTGTATATAATTTACTTACTGTATATAATGTTCTATTTTTGCACAGTCGAGGAGCGTTTCAGGACACATTTCACTGCTTGTTGTACTCGTATAACTGCATGTGATAAATAAAAAATCTTGACTCTTAAATTTGGGTCCTTTCCTGCTTGCCGCACACAGACGTTTCATGACAGACACAGGGTGTACTATCTTTTTTGGTTTATTTTTAAATCATGACTTATACACAGATATAACTTAAAGCGAATCTTAATTATCAGATTATACCTGTCATACGTTGACATGTGGAGATGGTTGGTGTCTGGCAAATACAGATGCACCGAAGTATAGACTTTGTGGTTCACTCTTCTGCCAGAAGACCCTTGGAAAACATCAAACCCTGTCAAATGGAAAGTATTCACATGAATTTCTTTCTCTCCTTTTTATTAGGTTTATTTAGGTTATCCAAGCAGTTTGTATTTAATGCAGGAAACATGTCCATATGATTATTAAACTTTTTATTAGAATATTGTACAAAGTGTGTGCTCTGTCTATAAAACTGTGTAAATAGTAACAGCTGTCAAATGTAGTGACGTAAAAGCCACCGTATTTATTTCGTGCTTATTTTCTGCAGTGATCTGAGCTCACCTCCTATCATGAAATAAGTGGTCCAATCAACTGCATTCTCGTCTGTCAGCATTTTCCTCAAACTCTGTTCATCCGTGCTGTAGTATGCCATCTTTTTCTTGAAATTCAGGGCACGCTTGTTCCGTGAAATAAACAAAAGCTGTCATAATCACGTGACAAGCGAAAGATTTCCGTCGAGAAAATCTATTCACAGTTTTCCGACGGGATTTAAACACACCCCGGGGTCCGGTCTGCAGATAACTTTGAAATCAGGCCACGTATCGACCACAACTTCCAGTGTAGTCGGTTTGTTCCTGTTGATTCCGTACAGGAAACCGTACACCTGAAAGCACGAAACACCTTTAAGCGCTGCTGAGGCTGTAAAGCACAAAGACACGCGGTTTATGTCGCAGATACCTTATAACTCTTCGGTAAGTGTTTGAGCAGAACTCCTTCAGCGACCTGCAGCTCGTCTCTGCTCAGGACCTTCATGTTTGGATACCGGAGTTTTCTTACTAATGCACTTTAAACAACCTCCTGTTTTAAAACATCCCAATCCACCATAATGGAGAAACCTTTACAAATTATTAACAGTTTAGGCAAAGTCCGTAGGGTTACGATATGACCGCATTGCTCCGGTTGTGAACTTGTGAAATAAACGTAGCAGGCCACTTCCTGTCATAAAAAATAACTTCGTTAATTCACCGCCAGAAGTTTTTTCAAAAAAATAAAATAAAAAATGCGTGTTTGTTTTCTATTGCGTAGGAAAAGATATAATGAAATCTGCTAGCGTGTTCATGGAGTGTTCAGGAAAAATAAATATAAAATATAGAAATATTTTTCCCACTTCTTGTATCGCAACAACTTTAAAAAGTGGGACAAAGACTGTGCTTATCTGGGACACGTAGATGACTGCTGAGAAGTGGTGTGTTTGGAGTCGAGTGCGTGAAGGACAAATGCACATCTCCCTCTTCCTCTGTAGTTGAATTAGCCTACACTGACTTCCATCTCTTACCAGCAGTCTTCATTTGCTGTAGTTCCATCATATTCTGCACTAATCTGCATAGTTTGTGTCTTATTGGTCACTTTTAATTTTGAGTACAGGGCACCAAACCTGCACTTGACCCATGATCTGACATCAAGCTTCTGCGTTGACTTCAACTGCTCTATCCACCAACGTTTGGGTAGACTGAGAGCAGTGGGAGAGTGGTTAAACAAAGCTCCTTATAGATGTTAAAATGAAAAATAATGTGAATGCCATTTAATGTTGTCAGTCATGTCTGTCCCAGATTTGTTTACATTCTCCTTCCTCTTAGTCAGTAGGTAGGTATCCAGAGAACTCATCACCATCAACAACAACAAAGAAGCTCTATTGAGCTGAAACGTCATCCTTGTGTGCATTTACCACACGGACACATTAAAGTTTGTGTGCAAGTTTGACTTTATTTTAAAACTGAATTATCTGGGGGGAAAAAAAGCAGCAAAAGATCAGTTTGACTACACAAAAGTTTATTTGCTTGGTTTACTGATGAGGCAAAGTTGCTTCTTTAAAAATCAGGGAGACCTAGTTTGTAACACTGGATAGTTAATTTTGGAAATTTAAAACAAGTTTAATTAGTTAAGCAGTGCAGTAGTAAAGGCAACAAATACTAATATTAATATATTTATTCCACCTACAGGAAAGTGCATTGCAGTCTAAGAGAAGATTATTCTGACACAAAGGTAAGATTTCCCAAGCGTTCTCGTTCTAGCGTCCCACGTAGATCTCAGTGTTGGCATTCATTCTTCAGTAACTCAATGGAATTAAGCCATGGGCGGCTCCACACTTCGAATGTGCACTGGTAGGGCTGAAAGGAAAAACAGACAATACATTTAACATTAGGATCTTTCAGGTGGTGTTGTCAAGTCATGTCAAGTACGCAAAAAAAAAATTGATTTATTATGAAATAAAAAACAAAACATAGAAACATCAGAAATCAATTTGTTTCACATGATCACTTTTCAACAGGACACCGGCCGTCAGCTGCAAAGAGATGTGCATCGAGCAAATCACTTCCAGTGTGAATGCAGCTTTAATTACAAGGCTGCTGCATGATGTTTAAGAACAGATCAAATATCCTGCTTCTTTTGAGAAGATGCCATCAGTACCTTAGCCTTTGCCTGATCTGTGTGGATTGCACACACTTCCTCTACACCATCCTTTCTGCAGGGGGTCTTTGCCATCTTCACAGTTATGACGTACTTGATGCCAGCGACCACCTGTAATGGGAAAGAAATTGAATACAAGATTCACAGCAAATCAACTCCTCCTCCTCTTCCTCTTTAAACCACCCGTGAGCAAAGAAGCTCACCAATGACTAGAAAAAACACCAACATCAACACGCTGCTACGCTAGCCTTGTCTCAGAGTTCAAGAGGAGAGCCAAATAAACTTAAAAAAAATTAATAAATACATGACTCGTCAGCATATCAACCAATCTTTAGCAAAGATGTGCTTCTCGTCGGGTTCCTTTTTTTCCTAAACCCACACTGCTCTATTGTTCGGGCTTGTCAATGGCTGCCTCCACACAGGTACACAGAACATTGCAGACCTACTGCTAAAGCTAGGTTGAGAGGATTAGGGAAGATTAGAGAGGCCAGCCATGTTTTGGGGAGTACCAACGCCATTAAGAAGGCATATAGCAAATAAATTGTATGTAACGACCATCGGACGGCCACTAGGACTTTAGTTTAGTGGTTAAAAGTGAAACCTTTAAAGGGCGCTTCGCAGGCCTTTTCTTAAGGGCTCACATCACTACGATGGTTTACTGGATGGCTTTCCCCTAAAGAACAATTCAGTTATTCACGAATCTGACCGTTACTCACCTGTGACTGAACCTTGATCACTTCTGCCACTTGACTGAGGTACAAATCGTTGCTGCGTCTGTTGTGTTGGACGACGGCGAAGTGGAGAGCGTTTTGCACATTTTCATCGTTGATATCGGCGTCTGTCAAGCCCCCGACCATGGCCCCGTACCCAACGGCCAAAGCGGCCGCAAGAACAGTCAAAGCGACTTTCCACATTTTCTATCTTTTGCCTAACAAACACAGGAAACGAAGTGAAACACTCCCCATCGTGCCCTCCCAGTTATATAAACATCGACGTCACCGCGCGCGAGGAGTGGCATATCTCGCAGCGAATCGGCAATCCCCGCAGCAGAGATCGGGTCTGATCCAGGCTGTTGTTGCGAACTCGCTCGCACTCTTTGCGTCTGCACGACTAGCACCCAGGTTCCCGCGGTCATCTGCAGAAATCAAATTACTCATATCGAAAACAAGGTATGTTTAATCTCGCTCGGATTTAATTTCCACACGCGACTTTTGAAGCGCTTTGCTGCGTGACAAAAAGGGGAACAAAAAAAAAAGCATTCTTGACCTATGTCCCATTGTCCAGGTCTAAAGTCACCTGTGGACGCCCACTCCTGGAACAGCACGATGCAGAGACTGCAAGTTTTGAAGTATGGCGGCACTTAACTTTACAATTATACGGAGAAACAAATAGATTGTTCTTTAAGTTTCCCCTAATATTTCCCCACACTTTGCAGGGACACTTTCTTTGGCTTGAGTGCTGCTCAGCAGCAGCAGCTACTGATCGGCTCAGCCGTGGCAGCAGGTGGAATAATGGCCTACATAGTGTACAAAAGAAAAAAACCAAGAACCATTCCTTTAGGGGACGGATGGTGGGGAGTGGGGGAGAAGACACTATCAGAAGATCAGAAAATCTACCCTTTTCAAGTGGAGACCTCAGACAAAGAGATCGAGGTAGGTTTGAGCTGGTAATCCAACTTCTGAATGAACAATATTTGGGCACAGTTATGCAAAGCAATCTTCTTGATCAACAGGATCTCTATGAGCGCATCGACAGGACACGCTACGCAGATCCTTTAGAAGATGGCAAGTTCCACTATGGCTTCAATTCCACTTATCTGAAGAAAGTTGTTTCCTATTGGAGACACGAGTTTGACTGGAAAAAGCAGGTGGCAGTGCTCAACAAGTATCCACACTTCAAAACCAAAATAGAAGGTACATAACAGCTCAGCAGTGAGTATACTGGATGTACGTCAACCCACACAGATATTTGCGCAATAATCAATCAGCAGTTATTATTAAAGTTGTTGTTTTGCTTTTCATGTGTCAGGACTGGACGTGCACTTTATGCATGTGCGTCCACCGCACCGCGAGAATCAGAAGGTTCTGCCTATCATGATCGTTCACGGCTGGCCCGGCTCCTTCTACGAGTTCTACAAGATTCTGCCGCTTCTCACGCAAAGCCGCGACGGTGTTGTGTTTGAGGTCATATGCCCGTCTATCCCTGGCTACGGTTTCTCAGAAGCCTCTCATAAACAAGGTAGAATACGTCTACTAATTCTAAATAAATCTGGCGGAAGATATTCACAAATGTGTCTCCACTGCCGCTCCAGGGTTCAACAGCCTCGCCGCCGCCCGGATTTTCCTGAAGCTGATGGAGCGTTTGGGCTTCTCTCAGTTCTATCTGCAGGGAGGGGACTGGGGCTCGCTCATCACCACCAACATGGCACAGATGAAGCCTCAGTGAGTGCAACAAAAACAGAAAACATGCCACAGGTTACTCGCTGGAACAGAAAGTCCCTCGCTCGCTTTGTGTTAATGGAAACATTGTGACAGTTCTTACTGGAACTGTGAAGCATTGTTTGCACTGTGCGGACAGATTTACAAAAAAACAAATGGCCGTGCAAATTCCTGAAGAGTGAAGCTGATTTAATGTGAAAACTGGCACTAACTAACTCGCTGTGACCTTGGTAACGTTTTTTTTCCTCTCGTCTTTTTTTTCCCCCCCACCATTTCTCTTTTGCAGGTGCGTGAAGGGTCTCCACCTAAACATGTGTATGTCAAATAGGGGTTTCAAAGTCCTGTTGTCCTTGTTGATTGGCCCGTATCTGCCCTTCCTGGTTGGTTTGAGTCGGGAAGATGTTCGCCGGTTGTTCCCTTTCTTTGAGAGGAACGTCTTTGAGATGCTGAGAGAATCGGGCTACTTTCACATTCAGGCCACTAAACCAGATACTGCAGGTGTGACCATAACACAGTTTAGTAAGCTCAGTGTTTCTGATAGTCACAGTGACTGGATTAAAAGGTCAAACAGAAGCTAATGTAAGAGAATTGACCTTAAATTTAGTGATTTCAGCTCTTGATACCGCTTTGTTGTTGCAGGCTGTGGGGTGAATGACTCTCCTGTAGGCTTGGCAGCCTGGATTTTGGAGAAGTTCTCCTCCTGGGCTGATCTGAAGAACAGAGATCTGGAGGACGGTGGGCTGGAGAGGTACAGTTTCTAAATTCTAGGACTGTGGAGATATTTAAATTAACAATTTGATCAATAATTGATTTTATGCAAATATTTTAGTTTTTTAAAAATATTGGTAGGTGTCCCTTTTCCCGACACTAGTCAACAGGGCAAGGATCGACCTAGATCGGTGCAGCTCTAACAATTACGGATTATTGTTTTTTATTCAGCAAGATTTGTGATAGCTGCTGGTTTGTGACTGATAAGAAATTGTGTCATCTGTGCAGAAAATTCAGCCTGGATGACCTCTTGACAAATGTCATGATCTACTGGACCACAGGCTCCATCACCTCGTCCATGCGCTTCTACAAAGAGAATTTGGGGAGTAATCTTAACAACAGAGTGGATTTTAAGTACGTCACCGTGTACTCTCCACACTACACATGAGTGTTTTACCATGTCATGTGATGCCTCTAATTATACATTATATATTTTTTGTTTTAGGACAGAGATTTTTGTGCCCACTGGCTTTGCAGCCTTTCCTAATGAGCTCATGCACTGCCCCAAGTCATGGGCACAAATTAGGTACCGAAACATCCAGTCCTACACTTTCATGCCCAGGGGTGGCCACTTTGCAGCCTTTGAAGAGCCCCAGCTGCTTGCTGACGACCTGTTCAATTTTGTCAAGAAGGTGGAGAAGTCCTGAAGCCCTCACTGAACTCGCAGACCAGTTATAGCACATCTGTCCTTTATTATTTCAAGCAGGAGACATACAAATCCTTAAGTTGAACATTTTTACACCACGCAGCATCTTATCACTTGATTCGTGACACTCAAATCATTTGCAAGCTTTTGATATATGTAAACATGCACAGATGACACTGGCATAAAGAAGTCTTGGTCATTAAAAATGTATTGCACTAATAGTGTGTGTATTGCTCTGTGTTAAATGAGGACAAACATTCTTTTAAACGATAATTTGTAAAAGAAAAGGGTAGCACACCATATTGTTTATTTCACTATTGTTTGAATGAACATACTCTGAAACAAAAGAATAAGTCGAAATTGATTAAAATATGTACATTTTAATAAAAAACACAAATGTTTAAAGTTCCCTTGGATTGCTGTTAACATTTACTGTAGTACACAAGCACCAGAAAGAAAGTGCTACACTCTAAAGACTTACTGTCCAACTTTTAGGGTCAGTTACTGAAGCCCTTAATAGTCACGGGTGCCTGAAACCACACATAATCCTCCCAGTCTGACCCCTCCGCCCTTGGTTCCTTGCAGACGTTTGGATCGCTAGACAGAACGATGATTTGTTTCTTTACACGAGTTGGGACTTTAAATTGGAGTTTGGGTCGAAACCAGCCTACACCACAGTCCCTGTGAGCCAGCACCAAGACTGTGGTGGGCATTAAGCGAACAGGTCTGGTGTCAGACAAAAGGTCAGCCACAAACAGTGTGCGGAAGATCTGCCTCAAGCACGATGACACCCGTAGACACTGATTCCCACCGGATGATGCCAGGGACTCCATGTTTATCTCGTACAGCTCTTTGGGGAGGACAAGCGAGCCACCCATTAACAGGAGCACACGGGGCACCCTGCTGAGGGAGAACAGCACCTCCAGCTGCTGCAGCACTTCCTCCAGCTCCTGAAGAGTCTGCTGACACTTGCGCCAGTCCATGTCTGCTGAATGCACCGGTCTTCGATTCACTACGTCTTTATCCTGAAAAGCAAAAGAGACACCAAACATGTCGTGTTAATCTCACATCACCAACATTTCGTCAACTGAACAGCTGGAGGCATCTACCATAAACTTTTCCTGTTCACCTGCACCGACGCTTGCTGCTTCCTCTGGGAGTATACCAACTGGTCGTACGTCATGGGCAGCTGCTGTCTTTGATAGAGGATGCACTTGAGGATCTCGCTGACGAAACGACAGCAGCCTTCCTGAGTTACAGTCCCCGGGAAGACCACGTTCACGCAGCCTTCCTCCTGTGCCCTCCTCACCACCTCGGCATCTCTGTCCTCTGCATCACTTTGTATACTGGCAGTCACTTTAATATGTTTAAAACCTCCCTGACAAGAAGCGTTATCCTCCTCTGTGTTATCTGGAAAAAACAACAACAAACAAACAAAAAATCAGCTTAACATTTATCTGAAAAGCCCATCTACTATACTACTAGATTATATATTTGTAGACTTGTAGGATGTGTTGGTCTGCAGCATTTCTGATGTAGCTGATAGAGCTGGGCTAAACAATCCCAATATCCATAGTATCGGATCACAACTAGTGTGAGAGTCCTGTCAGTTCAGTGTGTAAAACTGAATTATATTAAATATTTTTTTAAACCCTCAAACATGCACCATGAAAAATGCCTGAACGTCTTTGAGTTGACTGTCACGTCTGCTTTATTTATGACCTATAGCACATTTAAATAACAAACTATTTGCTTCAATTTCAAAATACACCAAAAACAGAAAGGTGTGTTTTTGGTGTATTAAATAATTATAGCAGAAAGTTAGAAACAAAAATCAGTGATTTAATGGTCGTTAAATGTGTTCATTTGCATATTGACGATAATTCATCTGATAAATCATGACACACTGCTCTCCCTACAAAAATTGCCTTTATACCGGTAGGTTAAAAGTATTTGCAAAACTGACTCTGTATTTACTCGGTACCGAGTCGATACCAAAATGTACAGTGTAGAACAACAGAAGTAGCTCTAGCTGTTTTCTCCCTTGAAATCAAATTTACATCAAGAAAATAACCACAAAGTACTAATATCCTTAGACCAAAACCTTAATATAGTTTAAGAAACGTGATCACAGCAGTGGGTCTACTGTGATCACCCCCTCCCTCGTTGGGGAACACATGCAGACTCACACCGGTTATGTCACCTACTTTGATCGGAGGGTATAGCGGTGTTTTCCTTATCGTCAGTGTCGTTCACGCAGTGCTGTCTAGAAGAGTCGTCTTTTAACTTCACAGCATTTTTACCCTTTAAATGTGTGTTTACGGGACTTGGGGAACGTTGTTTGCTGATTTCCGGGGAAACTCTGCTTGAGTTTGGGTCTTCGGATACAGCTTGGACCTCAGGCGGTGTCTTCGGTGCCTCCGCTATGCTAATATCCTTTTCCGAGGAGAAGGAAAGGCGTCTCTTTATCCCGAGGTCTCTGCTTTTATCAGTGGACACATTTTCCGTGTCCTCGGAGTTTGATATTAGTTTTAATATGCTCGAGTCTTCTGCCATAGTTTTGAATATCCGCGCCGGGTTACGTCTTTTTTCCCCGGTGCATCATGGGAAATGCTCGTCAAAGGGGAAAAAAAGCCACATTCACGTCACATATAAAAAAATAGAAAAACAAACGATGACTTTAAACTACCGACGGCCTTCTTATTGGTTCCTCAAACAAAACACCCTTAAATGCGTTTATTCTTACTGATTATAATTTCAAATAAGGCGTCTATTAAACTCCTTTAACTGTGCTAGCGTGCTTAAGTGGTTAAAGTAACTCAACGTATTTTCCCCCTGACCATTTAAATAAACATTTTATTGGCTAAAATAAACTGAACTCCTGAGTCTCATTTGGAGCAATTACAACTGCCTCATTCAAATCACCTTAGGTTCACCTCTAGCCATTTAGAAAGTATTGGGTTTTATCAAATAAATCCTGCGTGTTTTTACATTGAATTTATTTACTGTTTTATTTATTAGATATTTAAACTACTTGAAACTCAGCTAAAGTCTCATTTAAATGCATAAATATTGACTGATCCTCATTAAAGAACACCAGACAGTCACGTTATTTGTAAAGGTGAGCAAAAATAAAAGAATTTAGTTGGGGTGCACCCTAGCGGTTAGTTTGTGCAGTACATGGAGAAAACAAGGGCAAACCTCAGGTGTGATAATTAGCAGTGAAAACTTCTACAGATATCCAAACGTTTCTGTTAAAGAAGCACAAAGAAAGGTGGAGGAAGCGGCTGGACATTGTTTTGCCAGATTTCTTTTTAAAATATTAATAATGACTTCAGTGCGAGTAGCAGTCCGAGTCCGTCCATTGAACAAAAGGTAGGGAGAATGACTTCTTTTATTATCCACCAAGCTTTCAAAATGGGCTGTGTGTCACCCCCATACACTTTTCACAGAGAAAAGCAGTTATCCTCGAAGGTGATAATTCATATGAAGGAGAAGACAGCAACCATTCAAAAGGTATAGGTCTATTATCACAAAATGAAACGCACTATACTGCAGTAAATGAAGTTATTACTGAAAGTCAGCGGTACCTGCGTTTATAATTTTAGCCCACAGTACGAGGGGACGAGCTCAAAGGCGCAGGGAAAACCTTTTCATATGATTTTTCATATGACTCATTTGACAGAAGAAGTCCCACGTTTGCATCCCAGGAGAAGGTATCTGGATTGTTCAATATCTCACCTGTTTAGAGATTTTATATTCCTTGTGAATTTTTAGTGGGGGTTAACGACCACGACTTTAGTGTGAAAGAACTGTTTTCCTCATTTTTAAATAATCTTTTCTCTGCTGCCTCAGATCTTCCGAGACTTGGGGTTTGAAGTCCTGAAAGCTGCATTTGAGGGTTACAATGCCTGCGTGATTGCTTATGGGCAAACAGGCTCAGGGAAGTCCTACACTATGATGGGTCCTTCAGTAAGGTCTTCTATTAACTTGGCAAACATTGTAACAAAAGTTTCAATGGAATTTATTGATGATTTGTGTGGGGTTTTTTTCCCATTAAAATGCATCATTATTATTATTATTATTATTATTATTATTATTATATTTTATTTGTTTTTTATTTTATTTATTTTAAGCTTCCAATCTACTGGCAGGTGACAAATTTAAAAAAACAACCTTAAGTGCCATTGTGGTGTCCCGGTACCTTAATATTGTTTCAAGTCTCTCAAAGTCAAATTGAGGGAAACCATGGATCTCAAAGATGCTTATTTGGTGCTTTCATTATGATGACAGGGATGGAGAGCTCTGTCACACACATCAGTCCAAACTTTCACATAGAATTAGTTTGAGAGCTGGTGACTGTAAAGGTCACAGCGTACTATTCACATTCATTTTCACACTGTTTCTGTGAGTCATCGTGCCCTGTGGATAGGGACTGAATCCCTTCACTGTAGGAGTCAATGGTTCAAGTCTGTTCTTTGACATGCCATCAATAATTGTGATAAGCCCTTTTTGAAGGTGCATGCCTTTCTTTCAGTTTCTTTTGTCCATTTTTACCAGAATAATGTGAATAATTTGTGGTGAAAAATTGGATTTCATTTTTTTAGTTTTGTTTTTATTCGAGGTACAGGGTTTAATTTTCATGCCTCATTTCAAAATGCATGCCGAATGTGACCTGTAAATAAACCCGACCATAATCAGGGAATTATGGGATGTCACAGCTCTTTACAGATAACACTGCAGTAGTGCTAACCCCACTGTGCACACAGCACTGACTTCTCGTCGCATTAGAGGCTGGCTGATAGCGGCCTCATCAGGTGTGTTTGTTTCTCCTTACTAATCAGAAAATTTGATGAGGCCAGCAACCCACTGCTTTTTTTTTTTTCTTCCTCACCTTGCGCAGCAATGGGAATTTCACATTATCAGTGAGGTTTCAGCTTGTCTACCAGGAGACTTTTGCAAGGTCATCACCAGAGCTGCTGTCAACATCCCAGATAATTATATATGGCTTTTAATGCTTACTATCTGTTACTTTGTAATTAAAACAAGGGGGCAT